ACGCACAATGAACACGTGGCGGGGCCGCATCAGCCCCACTGCACGGGCACAGGCGGTGGGAGGGGGTTGTGTCAGAAACGCACAGAGTGCAACATCAATGGGATCAGGCGTTTTGTTAGGATACAGCGATGGAGTGTCATCAGTAACAGCATACACTAAGGGAACCTTACAGAGAAAGAAACTAAGCAGAGAAAAAGGGAAAGAGAGAGAGAGAGAGAGAGAGTATTCCACTGCACCAACCAGTGGGCAAGAACACAGGCCACAACATAATCAACAACAAGAATAATAAAAAGAAATGAATAACAGAGAATGGGGAGGGCGGAGTACGAAAGATCCAAACATGCACGAGATTGTGCAGAGCAAAAAAAGCAACGCGGTTCATAAACAATAAAAAAAAAAAAAAAAAAACTCACGCACTCCAGCAGCTGCTCCCCGTGGTTTCAAAGCCTCAACAGTAATTGTTCAGGGTTCAGCCCGGCACGTGTTGCAAGAAGAAAAAGATCATTTACCAATGTGTATTCCACCCAAGTAGAACACTCATAAAAAGAAAGAAAATCAATGCTTTACAACCCCTTGTTTATCCCGCTCACACGTACAAAAAAAAAAAACAAATTTCATATGATTCACCAACGTCTGTCCCTGCAAGCGGTGATGTCAAGGAATGTTTCACAGCAGACCCCAGAGCACAATGAAGTTAAGCACAATATCAATGGGCTCATCTATAACTCAATAAAGTACTTAATTCCAAACGAGAATTAAACTGATGTACAGAAATCAAAACAAAAGCACAAATTATCACACTCCATAGATATGTAAATAAGAGGCAGATCTCATGGAGCCATTATTGTAGACACGGCCAAGAAAATGAACAAAAGCGGCACCAAAATAGCAGCAGTCACACTACCATCACTGCGTCCATCGTTACGATGATCCACATACGCACCGAGTTTCATTGGTCGGCCTCGCTCTTTATCAATAACTCTGTTGATTGTATTGCACACATCAGCGTATTTGGGGCACACGATTTTACCCTGCAGTACATTCCCCTGCACAGTTAGTCTTCCTCCTTCAGGACAACTGTACCACTCATTGTTTCCACTGTACCGCACACTTACCTCGTTTTTCTTGCAAGAAACCTCCACACACACGGCACCAATTGCTGCATTTTTAGCCTTTAGATTCTCCCCCTGCACACAACGCGAGTTGGCAGCAATTACACTTCCAGGCATTTTGCTCTGCTCCCCATCGGTGCAGCTCGTTTCACGCTTTCCCACGATAATAGGGCAATAATCCATTAGATCAGCTTTGTTGCCCCCCAATTTACCGTCTGAAAAGTATTGGAAGTGACCTGGAAGGGGATTCCTATAGGTTTGAATGCCGCAACTTCCCAGCGACTGGCGGTCAGATGTGCACTGTAGTCCTGCAGGAAGACTACCAGGTTTGGAGGTGCAGAACATATCAGGGAATTTAGTACTGCCTCCCTCCACACATTTATCCTCCAGCAATCCACATCCAGAGTTATTGCCCCAACTCATCTGTTCTGCCATTGTCCAATTAACTTTGTAGTAGCCCAGATCAGCGAAAGCTCCCAATGTGAGTGCGGTGTAGTACCCAGCACCGACGAGACCAACCATTAACTCGTCCTTGGCAATACGACGACTCCAGTGAGAAGAATATCCCATGCTCCCTGGAGACACTTTATACTTTTCCACAACCTGAAGCCCCTGAAAAGAAGAGCTAGATTCCTCAGCAGGAACTACATCAATCCCATTAAGCTTTTGATTCACTGGTTTCCTTAACGACATCATTTCTGTGCGTTCCGGCGTATCAGCCGAAGATCTCATATACGCTACTGTAGCGTAAGATGCAACAGACTGCAATGGTAGGCCCCTATCAGAAACACAATCATAGTGTAACTTCGCAGCTCTACGTGTATTTTGGGA